GGAGAAATCTCAGTAGCCACGACAACGAGAGGACGGGGACGAGGGATATTTCCGTGATATCCACTTATCCGTGCCGGCCACGAGGATCGGCCGTGGCGTGGATCGTGGGTCGCGAAATTTTCATCCTCGCCCTCCTCCACCCCCGAATTATTCGTGCGATAGGGGGAACCGATAGGGAGGGCCAGTTTTCACCGGGATCTACGGCTTCCTTTGTCCGCTCGAATTGGCCAACCCTCGCGACAAAGATGCCTCTAAATTGAAAAATCCATCCGTGAAACGGGTGGACAGTTCTGGTTGGGTTGCGGTGTCCCTCGGCTGCGATCGGCGTTGAAGAGATCACACCACCGCATAGAATTCTGAAAACCACTTGTCCGACGACCATACAAATCCATTCCGTATATCCTGGATCTTGGCCAGCCTCGTTGAATAAGATTGATTTGCGCCAGATCGTTTCGATTGAGCGATTCGATTGAAATTTTGAAAAATGCTGGGTTTTGATTGTTAAAAATTTTCGATTGAGAATTCAATTGTGGTTTTGGTTGAAATTTTAATACCCATCCGATCGAGATAAATTATTATTATTTTAGGTGAAAAGAAAGATGTAAAAAACGAAATTTTGCTTCTGCTTCGACTTTTTCCACCCTTCATTACTACCAGCGTATCACTGAAGGATGATATTAGGGGCCATAATGGAACGCTGGTTGGAGAAAAATATATAGCTAAAATAGGACGATGGACGGCGCGTTTTATGGTTAAACGGAGAGCAAAAATACCAAGGGGAATTTATGTCTTATTCCGAGCTCGGTCTACCGTGTTATTGATCCTTGATTAACTCGGTCCCTGGAATCCTTTTAATTTGCTCCGACTCCCAACATGCGCGAATATCTCCCGTCCCTCGAATTGAAAAATGGCACGTACGATTGCTTTCGTTCGTAAAAACTTTCATGGTATGAAACACGTGGATCGAATTGCTATCGATTCACTTCAGCAAATCTGGAAGAATTTATAAGTTATTTTATTCTATGTATTTCTTATTATAACAAACTATCAAATTAAAACTAACAAAACTCCTCTCTTCATCTACGATAAAAATACTCCTTCAAATCAACCAACGAATATCTCCTCTCGAGATATCTAATTATCTCTATCTCAATCTATACTCAAATCCAAATTAAACTTCCTTTCCAAACATCTGGAAAGAACTCACGACTGCTTTTTCTCAAAGCCCTCCTCTCCTCATCAACGACAACAAAAATACTTTTCTTGTATTAACGAATCACCGCAAGATCCCCACTTATATCCACCCCTGAGCTATCTAATTATCTCTATCTCGATCTATACTCAAATTAATAACAAATTAAAGTTTCTTTCCAAACATCTGCAAAGAATTGGCGACCGTTTTTCTCGAACCCCTCCAAAATTTCTCTCGTCATCAACGACAAAGATACTCTTCTATATTAATCGACGAACCACGATCCCCTCACTTATATCCACCCCTGAGCCATCTAATTATTTCTATCCGATCAAGGGACACACACTTGATCGAGCACGTGTAGGCAACGGTGCCCGTTGAAAATTCGATTTTCCCTCGCCGCAATCTCCTCACCTGGGTTCACCTGAGTCGCATTTTTCACGGGGATTAGTCGCGACGATCGACGAGCCCCCCCTCCCTCTTTTGTCAACGCGCACAGCCTCCTTTGCATCCGGCCTCCAATTCGGGAGGATTTGTTTCGCCACTTGGGGTGTTGTAAGCCGACACGAGACACCAACGCTCTCTCCCGCTCTCCTAATAACGAGGAATTATCGCCCGCGATACAATGAGCCCGCGGGAAATCCTCTTTGATGTCTACCACGGAAAATAATACCGCCCTAATAGAGCGAGATTACGTAGCAACGACGACTGGAGGCGTCACGACGATCCTTTGCGGCAACGGGTCTGGGTCTGGTTAACAGGTTACCCCAACCCTGATTTGCGCGTTCAATTTCGACCGGCAACGTTCGCCAATTGGTTTTCGGGGAGGGAAGGGGGAAAAGTGAAAGAATTTTCGTGAAAAGGAAGAAATCTTTTTTTTAGTCTTGGAGGAGAATTTTAAAATTGTATTGTATGTGGTAAGTAGAATGGAAAATTTCGTACAGCTGCTTACGAATTGTGTGGAATTTTTAAAATTCGTTTCTATTGATTTTTGTAAAGAAATTATGAAGTAACGATTTATAATTTGTTTTCGATCAAATTAGAATTATACATTATTATCAAGATCGTTGTAAGCAATATTTTAAGAAATAAATATTATGGAAGAAGATAATCTAAAACTTGATCAAAATTAGAAATAATTTAAACTGTTATAATTCCGAATATAATTCTTTCAATTAAGGAATGGTCGATCATTAGAGGTATGTAATCTTGCTCTTTAAAAACGCTTTTTTATTTATTCCGATACGACTTCTTTCTTTTCGAGATATCATCGTATAAAAAGATAATTTTTAATGATTTAATATCTCCTTTCTCTCTTTCGCTCGCTCGTTTCAAAGTGCAGACAAGTGACAGAATTTCTAGAAAAATGTATTTTATTTTCAAAAAATGCATAAATCTGGCGCATTCATAATCTTAATACTTTCAATCATTACATCTCGAAGGAAAAGGAAAAGAAGCTTCAAAGAGCATAATTTCCTCTATGTCCTAAACTAGTTTCATATAACAGAATTTTTAACTTCAATAGATACATCTTAAATACATCTTATTTTTAATTTCCATATATAATTTCATATATAATTTCGTTAAACTCTATCACAATGTAATAAACAAAACGGGAGATCCTTCTCGAAAGCGAAAGCTAATTCTATCACGCCTCGGATAAACCACGACTCGAAGGAACCCCGTCCAACCCCCGATCATCCCCAATCTCCCAAATTAAATCTCCCCCATAATGGCGATACAAAAATCACCGCGTTTCAATTACGGCTCGAAAACCCGTGTCGAAGGGCGAATCGTGTTTTTCGATCGCCGCCAACAATCGCAGACACACCCTCCCCTCCCCCGATGTCGCGCCTCCGCCGCCTTTCGAGGCTCGCGACATCGGATGTATCAGAAGGCTAATTGTCTTTCAGTTGCTGTCAGTTGCATCCCCCAGTTCGGCCTTGTCCAAGGCACACGGCCCTCCGGGCAACGGCCATCTCGATCGCCGCGAGCACCGCCTCGAATTACACGCTGGAAAGGATAAAATAATTACACGTCGTCCCTCCCTCCCTCTCTCTTTCTTTTTCTCTCCGCCTCCTTTCTTCCTTTCTTTCCTTTCTTCCTTCCTTCTCCAAATGGATCCCGTACGCGTGAATCTCGTGGAAAAAAAAAAAAAGAAAGTTTCGGGGGACGCGTGTCGGGGACGTTGCTGGAAAGTTTCGCGAGAGAAACGGGTGTTCGGAGAAGGGAATTGCGGTTTATGCATGCGGTCGAAGGAGGGAGGGAGGAGAGGGTTGATTGCGGTGAATAGGATGGAATCGGGGGGACGGATGATTTTAGAAGTCTCGATCGATCGAGTTTGATCGAGAGATGAATAGAATTGTATAGAGAAACGAAGGATTTTTGAAAAAGGAATAGGAAGATTGTATAGATTGGTTAAGATTGGTTAAAGGGACGTGATTAGGGTGAACGCGAAAATGCCATTTAGATTATATTTTTCTCTTTTATTTTAGCGGAGCGTACGATAACACCCTTCAGAAAAGGGTCGACGGGCTATAACGGGCCGTTATTATGCCGCGTTGCATAATTTAATTCCTCCACCCGATGATAAATATATACCTTACCGTGGCCATTGATTGTTACCTGTCTCCTATCTCCTATCGCGATAATTATCGCGTTCCTCTCCTGCGGAGTAATCGCAGGTGTACGCAACAAGGGTGCAATGAATGATACGCGTGAAAGTGAACGACTCCTGTAGGAAAACGTAGGTTTAACGTGAAAATGACTCTTTTGGAGGGGGAGGGGGAGGAATATTCGCGTGTCGCATGAATATATTCGCGATCCGTTTACAGCTCCACCCCTCTTTATTGCTACCGAAATATTTACGTAAGCGTCGTGACGTAATAGCTTATATATAAAAACTTGATATTCCTTTTCAAGGGATAAAGATCCCAGAAATAATTTATCTTTCGTTCGATCGAATATTTTTTCTTTTTTCAAAGAAATCTTTCCAATGCTCCATCTTATTATTATTATTATTATTATTCTTCTTCTTTTCCGATTATAATAAATTTTCCAATATCGCAGATCACAATTTGATTAATACAATTCATATCGAAGATACTATCATCAAAATCGTTACAATATTCCTCTTTATTATTATTAAAAGCTTCGTGTCCACGTTGCTGTTATATATACTTCGTACACTCGATACCATCCAATCTTCCATTCCCCGTGAAAAAGAGTCTCACGGGTGTGTAATACGTGTAGTACATTCGAGTGGCGGGGAGCAGGAAATCGAAATACGAGATAAAATACAATTTATCGAGGCGCGTAACTGAGACATAAAGCGGCTCGTACAAGCGGTGCGCAGATTCATTGGACAAGTTGGCCTAACGGCGCCCCATGCTGTTTCCACAAATGGCGGTCTGCGCCAGTAAACATCGGCGTTCGACTCACGACTTCCTGTTATGAGCATACTCCCGTACAGGTGGATAGAAAATATACCGATGGGGTGGGCATTCGGTGACGAAATAAACGACGTTGGTCGGAAACCTGTACACCTTCGCGTAAGGGGAGAGAGAGAGAGAGAGAGAGATTCCTTCGGATGATGCGAAGAATTCGACGTATACGCCGGATACGTTCCTCCTTCATCCGTTGGCAAATTGAAATTCGATGTTGGATCGTTGGATAATTATCGTTTAAGGAACGATTTTAATTTATCCCAGCGTTTCGAATTTTCACGAAGATAATATTTTATTCGAATTACGTTTAACGAGGTATTTATTAGTCGGGCTCGAGTGGTTTGAATGTTTGATAGGCGGAGTTACGACGATGCGAGTGGAAAGTCGGAGGGGAATCGGAACCGGGACAATCCTCTGTCGCGATTTCCCTGAAATACGTGCAATTAATATCTCGAACGGATTTGCGTTTCCCCCCCCGTAAAATTGTAAAGTTACCTCGGGAAAGAATGCGAGCTTATCTTTCCGCCAAATTCCGTTCAATTCAGATTTCGCCCCGTCGTTTTCCACGCTGTTCGACGGCTCCACGTTCGACGATGGATCTCTTTCGTTCGGAAATATCACCTCGCTACTCATTTTATCGTATCCCGGAATTCCCTTCTTTTTCAAGTATTCTTGGTAACTCGTAGCTGGAAACTGAACCGTATCCCGGATTATCGGTTCTTCCGCGCTTTCAATGGGAATGTACTTCCTCGAGTTTCCTCCTACTATTCTCCCCTTTACGTCCATCTTCGAGTAATCGTCGACTGTATATAAATTAATGAAAAAAAAAAAAAAAAGAAATTAAATCACATTTCCAAACTTCGACTTACCTGGTCGATTACAATTTTCCTCTTCTTACCTCTCTGACCGGCGATTCCATTCGACTCCCTGTATTTTCCACCACGAATCCTATTGAAAAGCCTGAAGAATCCTCCGTTGTAATTATTCAAGTAATGAACCAACCCGTTCATATCCCTCGGGCACTTTGGGAACGCTTGGTAACACGGTTCAGAACTTCCTCGATTGCTGTATCCAAGGATCATGGCTCTTCCAAAGTTCAACAATGGAGACGTACCACCGACGTCGATTTTCGCCAGCCAACTGAAAAGAAAAGAAAAGAAAGAAACGTCGAAGCAGGATTTGTTTCCTTCGAAGGGAGGAGAAAATTCGACGTTAAAAGTCGCGCGAGGAAAACGTACTCTGTGAAGAAGATTCGGCCGAGGAACTCGAGGAAACCGGATCCCCGTTTGCCTAACGATCGTCCAGGAAGTTTTCCGCTCGCCATCTCGCACAGTATCCTTGCCACGCACTTGTAGTCGTCGTGGCGGGATATCGTGGACAGAGCTTCAGCCAGGAAATTCAGTTGAAATCCCGCGGAAAGAGCGCTCGGATAATTCAATTGCTGATAGCCGGAAGTCGAGTGAGTTGGAAGAGGGCCGCTCTGATGCGACTGCAAGCAGAAAAGTTTGCGGAATTTTCGGCGTGGATGGAGATTTTTATCTGTTAGTCCTCTCTTTCCTTTTTTTTTTTTGGTAATAGTTTTACGCGTGAATATTCGAACCATCCAAGTTAAACGAAGGAATTTTTTCGTTTCTAAACGAAAAAATTATCGAAATGGTTCTATAGAAAATTTGGATTTGTCTGGGATTGTTAATTGGTAGTGTTTCATAAAACCTTTGGTGAAAAAAATTATAATTGGTAATACGTTACATTCTTTACGAGTGGATCCATTCCTTGCATAGGTTGGATATTAAATTTCCATGGGGGTAATTTATTAATAATTTAAGAACGTGCCGACTAATAAACTCGCGCGATGTCTTTTACGATCCCCGCGCGATTGCCGCATTATTTATCTTTCGATTCACTAATAAAACAATCGTCTCACGACGATTTTATACTCGAGATATTATTCGAATTCGAATTAAGGATATTTATATATATGGAGTAAGAAGTTCAATTGGCGACGTACGTACCGTGGCAGGTATATCGAAGATATTCGAGAAAACGTCGACGAAAGAGATTCGTCTGCCCGTGGACCCATTCCGTTGACCATTTCCATTCGTACCACTCGCGCTTTCCTTGTCCACGAGATCGATTGCCAATTCATCGATACACCTACGCGACCAACGATGCTCTCTCTCACACTTCTTTCTCATTTATCGTTATTTCGAATACTTACTCCAACAAATCCGACGCGCTATGATTGTTTCGCGTTTCGTCGAAGTCGCAGTAAACAGATCCGTCCGTTTTCCGACGAATCCTTCGACGATCCTCACCAACGATTCCAGAACAAAGAAGAAGGAATATAAAAATAGATCCGAACTTGAGCTCGTCACTTTTCATCTTTCAAAATTCTTGTTTTCAATTTCTTTTATTCTATTTTTTTTACAATCTATTATGTCGATTTAGAAAAACCTCTATTTCAAAACGATCTACTCCCCATCCCGAGTTCAATTTTAATTTTCACGATTTTTACCAAATCAATGGATTTCAGAAAAAGAATAAATGGAGAATAAACAACGTGAATTGTAATTTCTTTCGAAACGGCTAGCTGCTTTGTCGCTGAAATGTCGGTAAAATATAACCGGTGTTTCGCTTCGCGGATGATCGTGTCACAGTTCCACGGCAACTGAAACTTTCTTCGAAACCTCGTTCCTCCGTACATCGTACACAAGCACAGCACAGGCGTAGGTAGAAGAAGAAACGTCATCGTGGGCTACTCTCACTTCGCGTGACCGTTTTTCGCGCGCGCCCGAGGATGCTCGCATTCCACGCTTCACCAGAGAAAGAAAAAAGATAAGTCTCGCGTGTCTTTCTTTTTTTTTTTTTTTTTTATCAAATTATTTTATTAATTCAATAATTAACAGACAACTAAGACTGTGACGCGTGTTCGAGGAAGTTCTGGACGATTCGAGGACGATTGTACAAATTTTTCTACAGCTCGGAAAGAATTACTCGAAGAATATTATTTTTATTCGATTCGTTGAATTCTTAAAAAGTTAGGAAAAAATATTCTATTGGATAAATTAATTTATATTATTAATATCCGTTTAAAGAGAATTAATAATTAATTTTAGTTCTTGATGAGTTGTAAATTAAAAATTTAGATACAATTGTTGAAACTATGCCTTCCTCGTCGTCACACAGTCACGTTTTACTCCATTTAAATTTCACCATAACAATAAAGTACAGTTAAATGAATAAATCGTGTTAATTAGAAGCGGATAAAGGAAACGACTAACAATTAATTAGACGCTCTAATCATCGCCAACTTTCTCTGTCCTTGACGAACTCCTGGTCGCAATTTCCAAAAAGATTCACCGAGGAATCAAGGCGATTCAAATGGAAATACACGATTCGTGGTTATTTACAATCGGTGTTCGCAAATGGCGGTGTTCGCAGTGATGTTTTACAGTTAATCGGAGAGCGTGGCCTCGTCGCAGCGTCTTCCTCGTTTCGCCAACTGGTGACAGAGTCGCGGGCTGCCTATGATGTCGCCCAGGAACACGCTCAATAAATAATTCTCCTTCATCGGGATCGGCGATGATTTGTACTCGCTGTAAAACGACGAATACCAAACGTTACCATCTAATGAACCCGATTGTGAAAGCGTTACGATCGGCTCCCTCGAGCTAAATATATAAATCGCGCACGGAGAGCAAGTTGCAAAGTAACTGGATCGTGCCTTTTTTTCCGCTGATGGAAAACGTGGGTATATCATTGGATCGTTGGAACGTTGGTGTTTATGGGGAGATTAAACGGGAAATTTATGATCTCGTGCCTTTAAATCTCATTTCTCTACTTCTCAGTGTTTAAGAACTATTTCCTTTCTCGATTAAATCCCCCTTCCATCCTTTCTCTTTTTTAAAAAAATCTTGGAATTTGGCCGCGCTCGAAAACTCAAATCGACGAATCCTTAGAGTTTTTACGTGTATTGGTATTCAATTTCTAAAAAAATAATGATATTTCGAATCGTTGATTATTACCAAACTTTTAATCAATGGATCCTCAAATTTCCAATTTCTTCTTTAAAAAACGAACCTCTTCCCGAAGAGCGTCCTTAAACCTTCATTCCTCAGCCTCGACGATCCCCGCTAAGGATCCCTCTTGCATGCTCCGTTAACCTTTCTCGAAACCTTTCTCCGCCGAGCTCCAATCCTCGATACATCCTCCCCTTCCCTCGACCACGTCTTGTCCACACACAGGTGACAGGAGCGATTAACCGTTCGTTTCGACGACACGCGCCGGCCATCTCGGCACCGTGAAATCGCCGGATAAGCCGTTCGAATTCGAGGCCGAATGGAGGCACCGTGAACAGACGGCGGGGGAGGGGGTGGGGCAGAGTTATCAGGATGCATTAGGTCGCTCGTGGAGACCGCCATTAAGGGCTATCTGCCGGTGGCGGTCTTACTTACAACTGAATTTAGTGCAACCTCGTGGCAAGAATCGGTGGCACGGATTTCTATTAGCTCTCTGCTATTCTTCTTGGTCGATCCTCGACGAGAAGGAATTGTTTCGCGAGACTCTTTGATTTCAACGTTTTTTTTTTTTTTCTCTATCCTTAGCGAACTCCTGGTCGCAATTTCCAAAAAGAATTCCAAGAAATCAAAGCGATTCAAATACACGGGAATAAAAGCAGGTAGATGTTCGTCTAGGAGGAAGTTAGAGGAAAAAAGATAGTATAGAAGAAGCATAAGAAGGGATGCAAAATTGGTTTGTTATACATTGTTGTAATGGATTGGTGAAGAATCGTTTCGGCGAAAGAGTAATTGGAAGTTGATTATTTGTGGTCTAATAAAATTAGAGAATTAGATAATTTATAAATTTTGCTATGAATTTTGTTTAATTATTATATATATATATATATAAAATGTTATATTTTATACGAGTTGGGAAGGATTAATACGAGTAAATAAATCATTGAATGAAAAGATGAAAGATTTCGCAGTCCAGTTTTCATTTCAATTTCTAGAGATGAATCTGAATCTTCTCAATATACATGTAATAGATGCAAAGTGTGATTCAATTCGATTTCGAGATTTTTTTCAATACACTTGCATAAGTTTCATCAGCTGTTCGAGCTCAGAATATTAACGAATTTTCGTGATTGGCAACTATTTAAAAAATTTCTCTTCCATGAATAAATTTCTATGCCTATAAATTTGAATTGTGTAACGAAGTGAAAATACTCCTGTAATAAAAAGGAAAAAGCGTGTAAAAAGATATGACCTTTCCAAAGTTTTTTTCATTCATCAATCAGATCTCTAACATTTAATTTAATTTTACACATTCTTCAAAGTTGTATATATTATTACGTGTTAAAAACAATTTCGCAATTTTTTAACACTTTTCGATAAAACTATCCCAAAACACAAACAATTCCAAACTTTTCCTACTTATTTCCCTCAAATCCAGGGATCAAAAGTTATTATTAAAATAGATCGTAAAATAGATTGCATCTCAAAAAAAAAAAAAAAAACATACGAGAACATATACAAAAAAACACAAACGAGAAAAAAAGCTTACACTTTGTTCGCAGATTGACATCATCGTCATCGTGAGAAGAGAAAGAAAAAAGAGGAAAAAAAGAGCACGAGAAGAAGACGAGCAAGTGACACGTTTCACGGTTGGCCGAGCAAATGGGCCAATAATTTTCCACGATGCATTAACGAGCCCGTTATTAAGCTTCCTATCCGCGACTCGTTTCGCAACTCGATCGAGCGAAACAAAGGTGGAAAACCAGTCTCCTCGATCCTCCACACACTTTAACCATGAACTTCGGGGTCGTGATCACGCAAGCGACTACGTGCAATCGAGATGATCTCGTTATCGATCGCGAGATGCTCTTATTTCATCCTATTCTGTCTCATCGTCGAAGCTCGCTGTGCAACGATCGATCGTTGAAAAAAATCGGTCGTTGAAAAAAAGATCGTTCTTCGTGGATGACGCAGACTGATATAACCGAATCAAAGTGGATAACGTTTTTGAATAACAAATACGATGCAAATTGAACGAGCATTGGCGATGAACGAGAAACATGACGACGTTTTGTAATATTATTAATAGGATGTAAAGTGGACGTCGAGTCGATCGAGCCATCTCCAGGAACACGGAACTTACGATGTCGATGGTGAATGAGAGAGAATATATGTGTGCAGCGTGCGTTAAGATCGATTCGTTTTTTTTCTTTCAACTTTTGTTTCGTAATTTCAGCTTGCACGTAAAGCGAAGTTGAAGTTGAATGGGAGAGAAAAAAATTGGGTCGCAAGGGAAATCATTAGTTGTAGTAGTACTGTAAAGTAGCGAGGTAGTAGAAAGTGGGTTAGATTTTGAGGCGAAATTTGATTGTAATATAGAGGATATTTATAAAAAAAAAATAAAAGGAGAATTGGTGGGGAGGAGGAATGGTAGTAGAGCGATGGTAGGTTTGAGAAATAGAGCGATGCACGTACATATACGTAATTTGTGGGGAAAAAATGGAATGGCTTGAGTAGTATGCTGTAATAGAGATATGATATCTCATTCGATAAATAGATAATGATTTAATACAATTTCATTAATTGTTGGATTAAAAAAAGAAAAGAAAAAACGTACCTGAAAATAATGTCCCAATCAAGAGCTCGTTCCCTGCTTCGTTTCTGCAGAGTTTGGGTGGCATATTTCGCGCAAATTCTCTCATAAACGCAAACGTTGTTGCCCAATTCCGATACCAACTTCTTCTCCACTTGATCGACATTGAGGATCTCTTCGTCGTGGACCAGAGGAAGATCTCGTCTCACTCGGCTGACGTAAGTTTCTTAAAAACGAAAAGAGAGGATAAAAATATCAAAATTGTTTCGCAATCGATGAAATAATAATTTTTCTTTTTTTTTTTTTTTAAATTATCTTCGTCGATCCACACGTTAATTTTTATTCCTTCGTTCTTACTCACTTTTTACAAATTTTATTTTCAATCCTTTATTTTTTTCTTCGATATCATTTTCATCGAATCGAGCTAATGCACTATGCAGGTTCCAAATACAGATTGTCAAACGCGTAGACGAGTTATTGTCATCAATCCAAGCGACGATCCTCGTTTCCATCGTTCAAAAACCATTAAATAACTACCCTCTCAACTGATCCAACCAATCCAACCAATCCTGACTTCTTCAACGTTCACTTTAACGAATATTGACGTTATCCATCCGCGGTCGCGTGTTTGCCTGCCATTGCTCGTCAAATTTCAGACAGCCAAATTCCCCGTTCTGTCGAATTATCGGATTATCGAAATCTCTTTATCCGGATGAAACAAAATCTTGTCGATTTTATTACAATTAAACGAATTTCTTTGCTGCAAAATTATAATTATCCATCGAGCGATAACAAATTTCAATATCCACCTTCGTCTCGAGATCTAAATTAAATTAATTAAATTTCATTTCATTCCCAAGGTAATATCAGGTCCGTTCGTTATTTTCGACCAACAAATGGAAAGAAAGAAATTTTTCCGCGTTCAGTGAGAACGAATTAATCCTAATTAGAACGAGCCTCGTCTCAAAAGGCAAGGAAGAACAACGAGCCATCACACGAGAACGTTTACTCGTTTATTCCTACTAGAGAAGTCGCAACAAGTGGAACACTTTCGCTTTCTCGCCGCTCGATTCTACGCCTCGATACTACGAATTACCTACACGATGAAGTTCAACTCTTTTCGCGATCGATCAATGCGAAGAGCGTTGAACTTGGCCGCGAGTACTTCGGATTTCTCCACGGATCCCTCGATCATCGTACAATTGGACGAAATTGATTCTACTCTCGCGTTTGATTTCAGGATCATGGAGATCATCGCGGATAATTGAGAATAGCGTGCGTACTTCGAATTAGAACTTTGAATTAGAATTGATCTCGTTCGTTTGGAGTATGTTTTATTTGAATTATTTCTTTCGTTTCGTTATGGTATATTAGTTTACAGGCAATTACCTGGGTTCAACGAGTAGGCGAGTTTCTTTACGAAGTTGGTGATCCTCACAGTGGCTACGATCACCGGGAAGCCGATCAGCTGCACGGGAAGATTGAACAATGGTTCCTCTGGATTCGGCGCGGCGTCCACCAACGTCACTGCCAACAACCAACACCCAAGAATGGAAGAGGCTTGCGTCAATCGCATCTTGGAACGCTATAACGACAAATCAGTTAATTATTCTCGGATTCTTTGTTTGCTTAGAGAGTTTCGATTTAATATACGTTCCAACAAGAAATCCTTGACACGATTCCTGTGAAGAGAACAAAAAAAAAAAAAAAAAAAAAAAGACACATTTATCTCTGAACATACATGAAAATTCTTATATAATAATTAATATACATTAAAGAATAATTCTATATGCTATAACGAGATATATATATATATATATTCGATCAATCAAAACATACTTCGTCACAGAAATTCTACACGATACTCAATAGAGATCTAAAAATCGATTCAAATACAATCAAATGTACACAAATTCTATTTCAACGATTACAGAGAATCCTTAAATCTTCGATCCGAACAAATCGAATCCAAAATTAAGAGATCAATTGAGATAGAAACACATTGGATGCACAAACCAGTCAAAAAAAAGCTGAATCAACCCCGGCACACACTGTTCATTTAGAAATCCAGAACGATTTCGAAATTGAGAGACCTGTTTCTACAGGCGGAGGAGCACCGTGACGGAAACGTGACGGCGGACTAGTTGTTCCTTTGGTAAAAACTCGTGGCCGAGTGTTCCTCTCGTCGGCTCGTACGCTGGTTCGCCGCGTCCGAGAGAAAGTGTTCGACCCCTTCCTTCAACGAGCCGTTCGAACGATCGGCTGCGACCGATTGCGACATTTAGTGCGCCACCAGGAACCGCACGCGACGTCGCCGCCGATCCTCCTCTTGCAGAGCCGTGGCCGACCCTCGGCAAGGTCGTCGTCACGGTTTCCAATCCGTTCCGACTCTTTGCTTTCGATCGCTTTCCACGATGGAAAGTTCCCGTATGGAATGTCGGCCGATGCCTCGAAGGAAATCGAAAGTGGTGACAGAGGGTTAACAGGGGTCCGAGGCGCGCTGACCGTCGGGGCTTTGGGAGTGGCCGTTGAACCGTCGAGCGGAAACGAGTGGCATTTCGAGTTCGATTCGGGAACGAAACGAATATTCGAGCGAAAAAAGATCCATGGATCTCTCTTTTCGATCGGAGGAAGGTGAAGGGTGCGAGAGTGAAAGTCAAAAGTTTTTCATTGTATTTGAAAGTCGGAGTGTATCGATAATAAGTGTCGAATTCGAGGAAGAAAGTGAAAGTGAAAGAGATTTGAGGAAAAATTTTTAAAGCTATATAAATTTAACGAGAACGTAAGATTTATAGAATCTTTAAATATATATGTATTGAGAGATTTGACAATTTCAATTATATGAATGTAATGGAAATGTAAGATTTTTATCAGTTTTAAAATACTTGTACAAGTGTAATAGAGAGTTGTGTTTATTTATTCACTTTTTTAAAGAAATTTTTATAGGATAAATCTAGCTATGGAGAGCGTCGATTAAGTTGAAGTTTTTTTGAGTGGTGTTTTTTTGAAGCATTATCTCGTAATGGTAGATAAAAATGGTGTCAGTAAACGCTTAAGTGCGATCACGTAGCTGTTACTCCGTAAGAATATAATCGATTTCTTGGAGAACGATACCGATTACGCTTAAACGAATCGTTGCTCAATGAAACGTTGTTTTTCCTATCGTGTCCTCGTTCACGTTAACGCGAATGTGTGTCGTCGATGCGCTTTTACCTGGCCGCAGAGACCAATGATCGATTTCCTGCGTTCACGATGATGTTTAGATATCCAATTATATAATGGAAAGTAAGATGTAATTGGAGATAAGAAATTTTACGAGTAATTTCAATAATCGATTCATCGTTACACATCTCTATTATACACAATTATAAATTAATTCTTCTAAAAAAATATACTGTTTTCGATATATATATTTTTAACTTCGCCACTTTCTCACTTCTTTCCAAAGAAATTTTACATACTGGACAAAGCTTTCAAAATTTCCGATATTTTTTGCAATTTCTCCAATTACTTTCACAATCGATTACGATTTGGAAAAAAAATTTTTTTTCCAAAGTTTAAAATACAAATAAATCCGCGATATGGAACTCGTTCCAAAGGCGGTGGTGGATCGTGACGAGGCGTCGCGACGTTGTTTCGAGCGGAACGCAGCGGGGGATCCACGATTTCTTGCGAGTTGGCGCGCGATAAACGAAAACGCCTCCGATCATTTTTGCTGAACGAGATGCCACGGGATCGTAACCGGTCGCCGTCGTTTTTGGCACGATCCTCATCGCGATCGTTACGGGGAGGAAGCCCGCCTGGCGTTGCGCTTAAGCCGATAAAAGGCGCCGGAGATTATTACAATAACTTTTCGCCGCTTCCGACGCCCCTGTAAATTGTTCGGATTGTTTTCTTACGCGGAATCACCCCCGTAAGAATTGCTTTTTTCCCTCCCTCTCCCCTTTGGACCAAGCGGAAGACTTTTATTTTTTAAAAGGATAGCGGCGAGAATGGAGAATTCGTGGAGACTTGGAAAATTTTTGAAGGTAAATACCTACGTTTAGGAATTATTTTCCAATATTTTTTTCTTATTCTATCCGTCCATCGTTCGCGCAATCGTACCTGCATTTTGAATAAAGGTTAAATCATTGCTGGTTTAAATCGTTTAATAATGGACAGTAATTGAATATAAATTTAAATGGATTGAAACTGGTGGGTAATTACTTTGCATAAAATAAATAAAAATAAAAAAAAGAAAGGAACGACACGATATATCGAATATCGCTCAAAACGAATATCGATCACGTGATAGATTTAGATGCAATTATTTTCAATCGCATGATAAAAAGGAAAAGAGAAGAGTTTTTAAGGTTTCGACTTATTTCTCGATAAATTTTCATGTAATTCTAAAGAAGCTGTACAGTTCACGATCGATGACGATATTTGAGTACTTATTTCTCTTAATCCCGGAAAAAAGCGAGAGGGAGACGATAACGAGCAACGAGAAAGAACATAAATTGGCGTGGTGCAAATTAGAAACTTTGGCTTTTCGGTGGTGCGCGCGAGAAATAATTATAAGGAACGAGTTTCCCTGGTGAAGAGCCATTACGACAGCTTTTACACTCTGAATATTATGTAAAATCACGATGGAAACCGACCATTGCTCTCTCTTATTCTCGAAAACGTGGAAAATATTTCGTAATCGAGCAAAGATATGCTCGAAAATGTGCTCGGATATCGGCATTCTTTAATAAAAATGTTTGAACAGTGTGTCAATAACGATTCGACGATCTTTGAAAATTTTGAAAAAAGAATCTTTCCAAACTTTTGAAATATCTTTTTAATAATCATACATTCGAAGAGTATATGTGTAAAAAGGAAAAGCACGAGACGAAGAATCTTCGAAGAAACGTTAGGGTTCACGTGTGAAAGAATTTTTATTTGCATCAATAGATAAGACATACGATATTTCATTATACATATAATTCATAATCTTTTTATACATTGCGTTAAAACATAATCGAAAGTTATCGAGAATATTAACGGCGAAAGAAATAAATAATTATTATCAGATTTTTTTTTTTTCTTTCTTCTCGATTATACACGAGATTCACAAAGATTAATTATTACTAATATAGATTACCACTTCTTACATACTTTTCTTAATCTAAAGCTATGTTACATCGATAAAACGCCATATAATCCAATGATCATTGGAATATACATTGAAATACTATTGGATAACTTGATAAAAATCATTCCTTAAATATACTTAATCTACGCGCGAGTTTCTCTAATCGTGCTGAAGATAATTTCAAAATATTATCACTGTAACTTAATATAATATCAGGGATATTCTTTTCGTTCAAAATTTCCCTTCAGAACAATCCATCCGATCGCTCGTTCGAGATTTTGGTTACAGAAAATTTAGAAGAGGAATCGTCTGCGATATCACAGGTTGAGTCGTCGTATTTTTTTTTCCTTTTCTCTTTCTCTCTCTCTCTCTCTCTCTCTTTCTCTCTCTTTCATTTCTACGCGATTCCATCGCGTCAGCGCAATCGAATCTTCTTCATCATGTTGAGAACGCTGGATCCAGGCAGCGGACAGGTGGGATAGAAATTATGGCATCCTTGACCTTCCACGCCGGATATCAGTTGACCCATATGCGCGGCGAAGTGGTACCTCGAGGGCACTTCCGCCAGCGTGCTCAAGCTCGTGTCCCTGAAAAAGTTTCCATGAAATATTCATCTTCTCTCCTATCCGCGTAATCAAAATATTATTTCGTGGCGCAAAAAATTAATTAAACATTTATTATCGAATTTCCATTTCGAATTGAAAGGTGAAACTTTTAATTATTGCAAATTAAAGTCTTCTCAAATTTTCAGAGAAAACTCCGATAACGAGTTGAAACTTCGATAACTTCCCTTAATAAATTAATAAATTTAGCCGAATAAATTTGTTCTTAAAAGAACTTTTAAAATGATCTTACAATGTTGATATCCAATAGACTTAATAATCATCGTTAATCGTGATGTTATCGTTCGTTTCATTTTGCAAGATGACGAGGTTAGATCGGGTTAAACGATGATCAAAGACGTGCTCAGATTACATTTACATTTATCAATCATAGCGATAAAATTGACTGAGATACTGGACAAAAATTTAGAAACGCAAATATAATAAGCACAAATTTCTTCGTATGGTTGAAAAAAATATTAATCGATCAAATGGTGTAATCGTAGTGGAATAAAGTCCATTTTGATTATTAGATCATTACGCGAAGTACCATTAATAAAAAAAAATTTGTTTTCTAATTTTCTACAGTTTCTCTTTTTTCCCCCATATCACAGAATCATTAGCATATTCTCATTAATGCTCCGATGAATACCTTGTTGTTGTGGAAATCTCTCATTCTGCACACAGTGAAATCCAACCATTATAAATTTTCTAAAAACGGAGCATCCAGCGATGCGCAACGTGATCAAAAAAAAAAAAAAAAAAAAAAAATCGTTACACTTAAGAAACTTACTCATTCATTCGTTCGATAATTCGGATAAATCATCAATTTTTCCTACGCTTTTGCGCGCACAATTCAGCGCGAATGAATACGAAACAGGTGTCGTATATTCGAGAAGTGGTGTTTCGCAAGAACCAGAGCCACAGTCGCGAAAACCACGTTTCGAAACGGTGAATAAAGAATAATGGACAGGCGTCGACACCAATGGCATGCACGAAATCGAACTCCACTTTCGTAACGGTTGACCATGATAAACTGGTCGAGGCACGAAGCACATAAGAACAGGCACAAGGCGAGTCGCCTTTTACTTTCGATATCGACGACTGTCTGTAAATCCGGTTTACGCTCGGATCGAAATCGACTGAAAATCCCTCCAACCCAGCCAGCCAGCCAGCCAGCCGTCTTTCCCCGCTCTCGACTGCGAAAGAGGTTGGATGAAGAAAAATAGCCACTTCCGGCTAATCACACGCTCGCCCACCCGCCACTATAATTTTAACTTTCGATCCGTCCCAATTTCACTGTTCTATTTCGTCCCACTTTGGAATTCGATCGGTTTCAGCTGAATTTATGGCATTTCGATGGAATTTTTTATTCTTTCGAGAAATTCGATATTTTCACTCGTAATGAAAACGGGATATACTTATTGTCGATACTTATTGAAATTTTATCGAATAATCTTTAATTCCGTGCGTGCAAGATGTAATTGATCTTGATGACTTATAATTAATTAATTAATTTTTTGCGAAGGAAAATATGCGGATATAGATAAATTATATGAAAGAACGCTTCACCTCTTTTTCTCGCCATTCTATTTATTTGTTATAGAAACAGAAACATTTGCTTTCTTTTTAATTTAATTCAAAAGTGACCTTAAAAAAAAACAACAATCAACAAAACTATAATCAATGAAAAACATCCTTGTCATCGTGACAAAATTTAAAATTAAAATCACGATCCAATTATATACTGTTCCAATCGACCCAAACAGACGATTTAAAGAATGCTCAGAAAGAAATAACAACCAACGATTACGATCATTGAAAAAGATCCATCACTTCCTCGCTTATAAAAACGAAAAAAATTTGCATCGTCTCTAAAAAGAGAAAAAAACAAAATATAAAATGTAAAATCACGATCCAATCACATCTGTTTCGAGATCGCTCGAAAACTCGGATATTCAAAATTTCGAGAGAAGAAACAATAATCGACGATTATTCACAATTAGAAAATCATCGAAAAAAAGGAAAACATCCACCTAAAACAAAAACCTATAAAAAAAAAAAAAAAAAAAAAAAGAATTTACATCGCCTCTAACAAAATTTAAAATTAAAATCGCAGATCCAATTATACACTTGTTCGCTTTAAAAATCACTCGATCACGAATCATTCGCCGATAAATTGACTCGAAAAGGATAGTCACGATCTCGAGGAGGAACAACGATCGTCGATCGTATCCATGGACCGCAACCCGGCTGAAGAAAAGAGAAAAATACTCCTCGGCGGAAATAAGGAAGCTCTCTCGATCTCGAAGAGTAAGAGGAGGAGGAGGAGGAAGAAGAAGAAGAAGAAGAAGGCTAGCTGGATGAAGAGAGCATTTTGCAAGAAGCAGTTTCGTCACGCATCGCTCGCACGAGGAAGACGTCTCGCGTCCGCAAAAGGGAAATCTCCCTGTTTGGCCTTTTACGATCCCTGGCCCTCGAGGCGAGCATAACGAGGATACAGGCAAAACGGCTTCTTAGCTTTTCCATCTTGATCGGTTCCAAACCTCGAGCGATCCAATAAAAATCGGCCTCGCTGCGGAAAACGGCGTTTACGCACGCATAAAAGTAAATATAAAGCGAGTCGCTTCCGGGACGTTAACCACGATCCATCGCGACATCGTTCCTCCGTTTCCTCGTTTACTTTCTCTGTTTTTTTTTCTTCTTTCTTTTTTTTTTTCCTCTTCCGCTTCCTTTATACCGCGTTTGAGGACATTTTAATTTAACGCTTCGTTGGGCGGGAAATGGGAGAGAATGGAGGGGGAGGAGGAAAATGCTATTTCTCATTGATTTCGATTTGTAAAGAGAGAAGATTCGGCGAAGATCTACGAAGAATACGCGCGTAAAATATATTTGAAAACTCCGTTCGACGATGTTGAAAGAATAATTGAATCTTGACAACTGATATATATATATATATATATATTTTTGTCAATTTGAATTTTATCGAATTGAAAGAAATTTTAATTTGTTTAAAGTGCGCGTGAAAGGGCGAATCCGGCGCAATCAATCTTATTCTCATCAACCCTTTTGCAAAAAATTGCTCTTCCACAAGATCAAATAGTTAATTAATCGCAAAGGAAGGAAAAGGAACGCGGGATTCAAAGCCTTAATTGCTGTCAATTAAACTCGGGCTACGCGAAATTTACTTCTTCGAGCGGAAGAGTGGAAACGCCACGTGTAATTTCGCGAGATAAAGCATCGCAGTCAGGTAACCACGGTGAATTAATCGTTAAAGCCGAGCTATCATTCTGTATCCCCTTTTTTCCTCTAAAAAAAAAAAGAAAAAAAAAAAAAAGAAAAAAGAAAAAAAAAAAGAAAAGAAAAGAAGAAAGAAAAATATAGAAAAATACCTCCTTCTCGAGAATTACGACACGAGATCATCGATTCTCCGCATGATTATCCACATCCGGGAGGGGGAAAAAAAAAGGAAAAAATTCAAGAGAAGAAATTCAGATCGAGAGATGCTCGAAGAGCCGTCGTAGAAAGTCGAAAGATTGAATAAGCCGTGAAAAGGAAAGTGATGGATCGTTATAACGAAGATAATCTTGATCGTGTTTGTAAGTATGTACGTACACAGGTCGTTCCCTTTTTGAAGTGGAACTTACGTAAGAGTGATGGAAACTTTCACTTGTTGTACCCCGACCTCTTTCGCTCGTTGGAGAACCGTCCGCTCTTTAATGGCCGGAAATAGTAGCAACTTCTTTCCTATTCCCAATGTTTGTCGCGCTTTCTTTGTAAATAATCGAGAGAATTTTATTATTTAAAATTAGATAGAGAAGAGATGATTTTTATCTCAGTTTCCAATTTAAAATTTGTCAAGAATTCATATCGAGGAATAATCTCGAAAAGGGAGAAGCGAACAAATCGTTCCGGAAAGGAATTAATTCAATTTGTTCTTAAAATTTATCGCGTCAATTTGAAGGAAGAAACTTTCCCTTTAATTGAAAATTCCTCGACCATCGCGAAACAAGAAACGTCCATTTCCAATTTCCTCGAATTCGAACAAACCTCGAACCAAAAAAGGAATATTAATCGAAAATATTTCGAAAATATATTTTACACTCCTTAAGTAACTTGATCTCTCGATCATATAATATCCACAAAATTTAAAAGAGAGAGAAAGATTCGTAAAAATCCATTGACCAAAGGAAAAAAGAGTTGCCAAAATCACGAATGCTACCGAAACGAACCATTTTTCGGTAGCAGAAAAATAAAAAACTCTCCACCAATTCCCAGCAATGCACAGGGTCGAGGCGAAGCAAACCGTGGCCATTGTCGGAGTCAATATTTGACCGGTTCGACATAACTTTGCTTTTAATCAGCGGGCAAAATGGCTCGCATTATCCAAATAACGCGTCGCGTGTTCGCCTTTCGGATCGTAAACGAAAATTGCGGAGATACGGGCGCGTATCATCCAATTTTCGTCCGTTCGTTCGGAGAATCGGCGCGACGATTCGCCGACAAGCGACGAGGAAAATTGGGAAAATGGCGGCCCTCCTCCGTCCGGTAGTTAGCCAGGCCATCCAATTTTCGATGACACGCGGATTCTCGCGCTTGTTGCGCGATATCGAGGCTGACTGCTCGACCCGTGCATATGTTTAGCGAGATATCGAACTGACGTTTGTTTTGTGCTTGTCCCCCCTCGCTGCAAACAGCGAGTTGTTGTTGTTGTTGTTGTTGTTGTTGTTGTTGTTCCGCGTTGGAGCGCGGCCGGTTGATCGATATTCGCGAGGATCGAAGCGAGCTATCCGGCGCGCGCGTCGCTCCATCGGTGTAATCTGGAGATTGGAAGGTAATCCGACGAGCTGACGTTTAATTCTACGGAGGGAGGGAGGCAGAGAGAGAGAGAGAGAGCGTGTGAATCGTTGTTTATGAACGTTGCGAGAGATTTTGAGCGTGGGAAGGGTTTAATGAGGGTTTTCGGATTGGATGGTGTGGGATAGGCTGATTCGAAAACTAGGCTGATTATTTTTTTTTTTTCTTCTTTTTTTCTATCTAATGTTCACGTTGCGAGTCTTTTCTGAAATTTTGTGAAATTTGTTAAATATTGCAGATTTAACGGAGGTTTTTGGATGAGAAGGATTGAATGGGAATTTCTTTTTTTTTTTTTCTTTTTTTTAAATCGAAGATATCGATTTAAATTTTTAGAAGGATATCGAGATAAATTCAATTGGGGAAAAAATGATGTTCGAAAGAAAAAAAGTATGCGATGTCGTCTCTAAATTTCTATTTTCGTTGGACGAAGATTATAAAATACGATTTTTTTTCACATAAATAAGGAGCATCATCGAGGAATAAAAAAAGTTGATAAGTTGTATATCATCTCACGATAGGATACACGTACCACGAGTCTGAGATAATTGTTATGCTATCGTTATTGACATTTCGAGAATCTTATGAACCGCGAGTTGATTCGCGCGAGATTAGTTCGGTTGTTATGTTACTGTTAATGGCGATCGAAAGTTGAAAGAGAAAGTGGCAAAGTGGAAAGTAAACAAGTTATACGAGCACCCTATGAATCGTTGTAAGAGTTTCCATCGCAGAATTGCTTGATCATCCATAAAATTTCAACGTAAATCACTCTTTACGAACGATTAATAAACAATTTTAAACAACGTGTAATTATTGATTTTTCTGTTCATATTCTGTTTCACCTCTTTCACTAAAGCAAAATAAGCTCGAAAACGGATTCCAGAAAATTTTAAGTATTCACCGATGGATAAATCGTTGATGAATAAATCGTTTTCTAAAAAGTTTTCACGTTGAACAGTTTTGTAAATGGAATGAAATTTTGAAAGTAAATTAAAAAAAGAATTTGAGAAATCGTGTCAATCGTATTTACAAATTAAAATAAAATTAGAATATTTCTTCCTGTGGAATGCTACTTGTAACTTCACTGTATTCAAAATGAAAGAATACATAATACTCGATAAAAAAATTCCACGGAAGTAAACATCGATCAAAATTTCGAACAAAATTAATCGCTCAAGTCTAATGAAATGCTTGGATCATCGTTTTACTTGGAAAGTAAAAAATTGTCAAATGTATCGCTGTTTCGTTAGCTACTTGTTCTTTTTTTTTTTTTTTTTTTAGGCCTTGAACTTATCAAACACGAGGGACAAAGAAATAAACGCAATTTATCGTTTACCTGATTAAATTTAACAGGGACCTTTCCATTTCGCTTAGCTGATCCTGATTGACGGACGAGGTCAGTTCGCATATCAGCTTGGGCAAACAAGCAGTCTTGATCGTCGTCATCATTCTTGCACGCCGTGAAATTGCTGCAAATTAATCCATATTATTAGAACACGTGTAAACCTCTTATTGATCCAATGAATATCCGATATCACACGTTCCAGAATCTGATTCTGACTCTGAATCCATATAGTACGCCTATAACGTGCACCGTGTCAAGAATCAAGGATAATCCTTTTACTTTTCAGAGAAAACGCACGAGTTGCGCACGAAGATATTTAACTTAATAATTAAATTAAAAGTAACAGATCTTTTCTCCTCAATCTTCGTTCGTTCTGTGAATATTCACCTTAATTTGCCCCCAATTGAATCAAATTACAAGTTTCTCGTCGGTTTCATTTAATTAAAGAAACCATCGAAGTAGCAAAACGAGGATTAAATACACGTGGAGAAATTTGTCGGCAATTACAGAGATATTCGAAAGATGCAAGATAATAAATTATCGAAATATAAATAGAAAAAAAAGAAAAAAGAAATCGCGGGAATAACACGTATCGAAGTATATTTTATAATCAAACAATTCGATCTCTTGAAATAGAAGTGGAACTTGCTTGATCCTCGTTAATTAACTCGATTAATCCGTTAATGAGATAAAAAAATATAATTAATCAAGCCGAATGACTATGAAATTTTTCAATAGTCGATTGTCACGATCACGATAATTCGCTTAAATATGACATAAGATATCCAATAAGGATGTGCTAAGTGGACGAATGTTTACCAGCAAAAGACCTCCTTATAAACTTCACTTCGAGCGTGTTTCGTTAAATTTACAAAAGCAGAGAGTGTGGCGAAAACGATTAAAAAATCTTTTCTCGAACTCGAACAATTGACTTGTACGGAGAAAAGAGTAATTGAGAAGAAACACTATCTCTTGTCAATTACCATTAATCACATCAAAGAAGAAAGTCTCGAATGAATCACGCATACGGTACGATAAATATCACGTGCACTTAACAAAATTACGATATATAAAAACATCATAAAAAATTTCGACAGAGAGAAAAATATACATACGTGCACCAATCTTATTCACATTCATTACTCTAGAAAATATTACCATTATTAATTAAAAAGATTATTACTATGCTTCGTTCGAAATTACAAGCATGAAAAAGTGGCAAACAAAATTCAACAAAAATTCAAGTTATATATCAAATTACAAACGTCAGAATTTCCTTTCCAGACACTCGTCCAGCCTTCTAAACCAAATTCAAAATATCTTCAAAGCGAATGCGATTCTACCATCGAAACGCACGCGAGCCCGCTTCGTGACTCGCCTCGTCATAAATATTCCCACGAATTAGAACGAACGGAACACGTTACGAACATCCTGCGACGAGATCAATTTATTATCCCTTACCGTTCTCCTTCTCGTCCATCTTCTTGGTGACGGACAGGGCTATCCTGCCCTCGGGATCGTTGCTCCTCCCTTGGCTCTCGGGAGTTTTGCTCGGCTCCGTGATGTTTTGCCCGCCCGACCGGCCGAAAATCGCGGTGATCAGGTAAGTGTAGTCGCCCGCCAGCATGAGGAACATGCCGAGGAATATGACCAGCCGCACGGTGCTTGTGTCCATGACCATGCCTCCGGCGAGTCTCTCGCGTCCTTGGCGTTGTATCGCCGCCGTGAAACGACGCGTCCGCACCGATCGACGATCCCCGATTCACTGCGGCCTCCGCCGATTCAGGGACCGGATCGAGGAAGAACCGAGCCGAGGGGACTGGATCTGCCGATTGAACTTTATTCCCGGTGCCGCTACACCTACTGCGTCCGATAGATTAAAACGGCGCCGCGCGATTCAAAGGCGCCACCACCATTTGTTCTTTTTTTTTTTTTTTTTTTATATATATATATATATATTATTTCGATTCGATCGCGTGATCGTCGTGAATGTTGATTCTGATCGAGAGAGCGATCGAGCGTTATTGGAATTTATGATGCGATGATGCGGTTTCTCGTTGCGAGTTGAAGAGATTGTTTTGAAAAAGGAATCGATTGGATTCGATTATTCGAGGAGAAAGGATAACGAAGCCTTGGAATTGTGAAACTGGAGATATCGTTTTGTGGAACGAAAGAAGGCGTGATCAATCAGTTTGAGTTTAATTGGTGTCTGGAAAAGATAAATGAAGTTTTGGAATTGTGAGAATAGAGATATTGTTTTCTTTTTTTTTTTGTGTGTGTGTGTATGTGAAATTAATTGAGATTTGGATTTGCTGAACATATGAGAAAAGATATTGTATTTGTGAAAAAAAAAGAAAAACTGTATTAAATAGAGAATGGCTCGAATTTGATAGTATGTGGAGAACAGGTAAATTTTAATTTGGGTTGGAAAGGGTAATTTTTTTTTTTATGAAATTGAAGATCTTTCGAAAAATGTGATAATTAATTTACGTTTGATATATAAATTTTTATTTAGGGTGAAAAAATAATGAACTTTTGCGATTGTAAAATTAGAGAAATATAATTGAATTTTTTTTTTTTAAGTTTCTTGTATAATTAATTGAGATTCGAATGCAGAATATTAATCGTAGAACTTATAGAGAATGATAAACATACGCTCGACTTCTTAAGAATTCGAAAGGAGAACATAAGTACGTGTTACGCAACAGCCATATTGGAACGCCTTAATCCGATTTTCTACAGCGTATAAATGCAAATTAACAAAAAAATACATACCTGTGAGTAACATGGACGACGCATCGCACGCCCGTGTCCAGAGATCGTCGACTTTCAGACTGTAGGATGTTACAGCAGAACTTTCGCTTTCTATTCACTTCCACTTTCTTCGATACGTTCAAATCGTCGCAATACTCGACAACTCCAAAGCAAAACTATATTTCCATCGCACGAAAAAAAAAAAGAAAAAAAAAAAAATTCCTCCAAATTTCTTCGAATTCTGTTAACACGTAAAAAAATCCAATTTCCTTAAACGCAAATTACAAATACAACTCTAGTGCAGAAGTGAAACCACCGACACTCTGAAACTGTAACGATAATGAAGCTTTCTAATTTTTTTAATTAGAAACAACGCGGATCGCGGACGCGCGACGAGTGAAAATAATTATTCCGGTTAAGTAACACGATCGAATGGGTCAAGTACAGCGAAATGAAAAGAATGCGTTTAACGACGAACGACGGAGGTGTTCGAGCGTCGCTACCGCAGTCTACCGACGTCGCGCAATGACTGTGAATGATTCGAAACCATGGCGGCAGACCTAACGAGTTGTCAGTGAAAGTTGGACACCCGGCCGCAGCTCGTAGCGATCGGATCGGCCGATCTTGTGCTCGTTTGTTTGCCAATCGGGGCAAACACGTAGGAAGTGTATCCTTTGTTTCGGATGCGCGAGCGTCGTTTTTTCCCCTCGTTGAATGGAACCAGGTATATACGAAATTATCGATTTTATTCTTCGATTTTTCAATTTTTTTTTTAAAGTTTAAGCTAAAAAAAATTCCATTTTTAATTATATAATAAGTCAAGTAATATAGAGAAATATTAGAAATGTTAAGAGGATTGGCGAGAAATAAAATATATTCATTGTTGTATATGAATTATGAATTTGTACGAGAATATGTATTTTTATACAAAGTTCGTGAAAGTATTATTCACTCTTGCGTTCTTTTTTCCTTATTGAATATGTTTAATATAGACTTTTATAATATTTTAGAATACATCAAATGTGAGTGTTTTTTATAATTAATTAAACAAATATTATTTTATTTTATTTTATGTAATAATGAATAAAGAACTTAACAACGTACTTATTTTATCTTAATATAAAATTCTAATGTATTATATGTATATATGTAATTTATATATTAGTTAGTTTTATATTTCTCGTACACGAGGAAATATTTGCAATTTTTTACTTATTTGCAATTCTATATCTATAATTAATTTTTGAAAGTAAAATATTATACATATATTTGTGAAATTAAAGAGGTATACATTTTTTTTCATTTCACTTTATTTTTCTGTCTCTCTCTTTCTCTCTCTCTCTTTTTTTTCTGCGTATCAAGCAACACGTAAATATTTATCATATTTCTTATTTTCCAAAGTAAAGATTGTAAATTCCCGCGAAGATATTGAACATGGATTGATTTGTCAAACAGGCTTTGTTCATTAACATCTCGAATTATAACATCCCGTCGCAATTGTGTCACCGTTTAATAATTTCAATTCGATACAGGCATGTTGTATCTGTAACAAGATATTCACTTTCGATTCTTCAAACTCTGATTACGGAGTTAAATGATTAACAATAAATTTTAAGGTAAAGAATTAAAAAACACCAGGTTAATTTCAAAATTAATTACAAAAATTTCGCGTAAAAATCTTATTTCTCAATATATTCTGAAAATATTCTCTACATCGATGTTTTTTAATTTTTTTTTTTTTTTCTTCCAACTTTGCTTTTTGCAAAATTGAAATCCCTCTTCTCATCTAAGATGAGAAAAATTTTAAAAAAGATTAATATGATCTCATCATTGTGAAATGTCCACACTGTCTTTACGTAATAAAGTTACCTAATAAAATAAATAAATGTTGAAAATTATTGATTAAATATGACAATATTCAATCTTTAAAGAGGTCGAGATAGACTAAAAACTCTTTGTTTTATACAATTAATAATAATAAATTAATAATAATAAAAAATGTTCCTTCATCAAATTTCATTATTATTTTCCAATTTCACCTTATTTTTATCCAAGATAAAACAGATTTTTCAATAATAACCAGTCTTTTCAAGGATAGTGACACAAGTATTTCCAGATCAGATCAGAATCACGTATTCCTATACACACACATACATACGTACATAACTCCTGTTTTACTTTCATAAAATCTTTTAGGTCCGGTTAATCAAGTGCAATTACTCGTTTACCTTGAGAGTTTTTTCTTTTTTCTACGAGGTGTGCATCCAAATGAAGCTCTATTTTTTTTTTAATTTTCCTCATCTACCCAAACATGTATTCTCGTATCGCACTATTTGCCGGGATTCCCGATAATTCACACGAGAATAATTTATAATTTACGATATCTGTTAATTGTTTTTTTGGTTTGGTAATCTTCAGCAAAAAAAAAAAAACGGAGATTGCTTATGCAAATGATTTTAATATATAGATATATAATAAATTAATATATAAATATTTAATAAATATATAATATATAGCGATAAATATTCAACGAATATTTCAAATAAAATATGTAAATGGATAAAAAGATGAATCGATTGAATTTTTTTATAATATTATTGCGTGGTTGATGTTACATATAATGCGTAGTATTATATAATTTTAATATGAATATTATATGGTTTTATAATATTATAGATGGAGAAATTGATAAAATTTTTTTTATTTTTATTTTTATTTTAGCATAAATGTGACAACAACTTGAAAAAAGTATTGTACGTAATAATTTTTATATCGTTTTACATACCAAATATATTCGAATATGAATTTTTGTATAAAATAATAGTGCAAAAATTTATTTTTTTTTTTTCGTTTATATTGCACAAAATAATACAAAAATAGACACACAGTTTTAAATACGAATTTGACACAAATTTGACGTTTCGACAGAAATTTAAAATTTCTCCTTCGTGAAAATAGTGACGAGACCCAACAAAGATTTAGTAAGGGGCGTCACGTTTTTCAGAGTTTCACTGTTCAATTTCTTCACATTCAATCGCGACGAAGTGGCATTGTTCCAAAATTTATCGTATCGTTTCCTTCTTCTTTCATTGTGTCGGCGATCTCCACCACTCCAGATCAATTTTTCCGTTTCTGAAAATCAAACTCGACTTTTATTAATTCGAAAGTTGTTGCATCCCAAGGAGTTCGAGCGAGATGATTTTCTGAAGCGCATAACCTCTAACTTCCACTTATTAATTCATGTATTTCAGAAAGTTATGAATAGCTTCAATTATATATCTAGTTAATGTTTCAATTACTCGTATTGCTGACAGGGAAAAGAGAAAGCGAATTAGAAACACATTACTCTCTCCCCGCAAAACCAGTAGATAAACTAATTAGCATTTATCGCAGACATTTATCCTTCTCAATTCAACAATAAATACAAAACATCGCTAATTACGAAAAATAATTTCTATTTAATAAAACTTGTTGTACATTTTCATTACGTTATATTCTTTTTATAAAAATTTATAAGATACATAAAAAAAAAAATTGATTTCCACGAGTGAAAAGGATTCCAAAATTCTAGTAATTAAATTTGGAAAAATTCTTAACAAAAAATATAGTCGAAGAAAAGAAGGAAGATGAGAGAAGCCAAAAATGAAAAAGAAATACTCAACGTTGATAAATTGCTGATTCCGAGGAAGCCTCGACAGAAGCATAGTTACTTGAATCCGATTTTTGGTGGTGTAGACGCAGCTGCAATTGCGGGACGACGTTGGCCAGGAGGTCGAGTGACAAAGATCCCATATTTCCTGGGCGGAGGTTCCGGAGGCATGGGCGGTGGAAATGACGGTTCGAGTATCTAAGCAAACCACAAACATTTCCACGTATTTATTATGATTTACAAAACTTATACGCACACACACACACACACACACACAAATTTATAATCATTAGATTCTATAAAATTACTTATTCATATTTATACACTATAAATACCAAAAGTGAAATCTTTGATCAATATACTACAATATCGGTACAATTAAGAGTCACCATGGATACCAACTTACATATACAGACACAAATACAAAAATTTATAATCATTAGATTCCATAAAATTACCTATTCATATTTATACACTACCAATACCAAAAGTGAAATCTTTGATCAGCATACTACAATATACAATAATCGGCACAATTATCGATTAAGAATCACCATGGATACTTACTAACACATATACACACAGATACAAAAATTTATAATCATTAGATTCCATAAAATTATCTCTCTCGAAATTACCTATTCATATTTATTGCACGCTGTAAATACCAAAAGTGAAATCTTTGACCAACACGTACCACAATATCGCTGCAATTATCAATTAAGAATCACGATGGGCCAGATCCATCGGCGCACAATCCCAAACGATAACACAGCGATAATCAGCATCAGCATTAAACCCTTCCCTCATCCCGAAATCTCATCCCGTTTGAATGCGTCTTAACTAACCACGGGAGTCCCATGGTTTTCCCCAATTTCGTTCCCAGACACCGAAATAACTTTACACGTCTCGCCTGCCGCGAGATGCGCCTCTCTCCGAAACACAATTTTCCCCGACAATCCGTCCTGTCCTCCTCGCTTTTGCGGGGAGACCTCTGCCCAAGTTGTTACAACGACGTTCACCAAGCGAAACCGGCCTGCTCTCGATTCTCGTGACAATTACAGAGCGAGAAGAGGAGGAGGGGTAGGGTAGGGAGAGGGTAGCCCTTTCTGCGGGCGGTTTAATCGAAACACACACCTTGAGATTCTCGAGCGAGCCCGTAAGACTCTTGCCCGCGTGCTCGTTTTCTCGGTCAGCGACGTCGCCCGCAGAACTCTCGCACGATTTCCCGCTGGACTTGTACTGAAAATCAACTACGGATTAACGGAAAATCGGTGAATTTGAGCGGTGGTTGGACGAAGGTATTTTTGGATTCGTAAATAGAAGGTGTATTTTCGCTACTTTCTCAACGATCTTCTCCAACTCTGACAGCTTGTCCGCGGCGTTGATCAACTCCGTGCTCAATTTTCGCATCTGAATTATCATTTCGTTCCGATTATTGGATTGATGATTTTTTTTGGTTTTTTTTTTTGACGAGGCTAAGGATTTTGGATGGTTAAGGATATTGTGTCTTTTTTTTCTTTTCTTTTCTTTTCCTTTTCATATGAAATAATTATCCTTAAGGATCGTAAATCCATAGCCACGATTATTATTATATCGCGAGGAGGTATTGAGTTAAGATTTTAAGTTACTTCGTCTTCCAGCTCGTTCGATGTTAATTTTTGCGTTTCTTTCTGAAAGGATAATTTAATAATGTGTGCGTGTCAAGTGTAATAGCGTTTGAAGAAGTATTAAAAATATTCTTTCCGTGTACTGTACCACTTTAACCACGACCTTGTCGTACTCTGTTTTCTTATCCTTCAACGCCCCTATGTCGTCCAATTTCTGTAACAATCGTTTAAACGAAAAATCGATATGATTGAATATCTATCGGTATCCAATCAACTAGACGCACCGTTCTATTCTGCTCCATAATCTTTAACATCTCCTTGTTCGACTTTTCCATTTTCTTAATCACCTGAAACGTGATATTTTCTTTTCTTTTTTTAAATAAAATTTTTTGTTACTTCAAAACTCAATTCCAAAATAGAAAAGAAAAAAAAAAAAAGAAAAATTAAAATTATTCTCAACGACAAATACTCGGGAAAGGAAATATCGTTATAAATTCTTCTCAAAAAAATTTATCACTTGTACTCACCGTGGTGGCGTACCACAGAGCCACGTAGAAAAGTATATGCATCAGCACGCAGATATACACGTTGTCCAACACGTAAGCCCGTATGAACGACTGCATCGATGTTAAAAAAAAAAAAAAAGAAAAAAAGAAGAAAGAAAAAAAATGGAAATCATATGGTAATCACGCGATGTCTCGTGATGTCTCACGTATTCGCCTATTTACGGTACCTGACGGTCGTATACATCGACGAGCTTCAGAATCGGATAGGATTTGACCAACCGGGAAAAATAAGTCTGCCTTTGCAAGAACATCCTCGCCAACGTAATCCATTGGCCGGTGTGTACAAGATTTGGTTAACTCCTCGCGGAGGATGGAAAATATCGACGATAAGGTAAATAACTCGGGACGCGAGACACGTCTCCCTTGTAAACGAGAGACGAAAATCCGTCAGATGTTACATCGCAGTCATATTGAATTCGGTTACGGTTGAATAATCGACTGTCGAATGATCGTTTCACTCGCAACGTTCCACGATTCATTCCTATATTCATTTCATCTGCCTCTTCCCCCTTTCTTCGGGGAAGCGGGATCTATCGAATTTTGTTATTGAAATTTTTGAAAGTTGTGGAAATTTTGTAAATTCATTCATTGTTTAGCGAGATAATTCCTTTTGATCTCAGAAAATCGTATAATTTGAAAAAATGATTATTAAGAGAGATTTATTAATATTGGTAATTCGTATAATATCGAGAATATTATTTTACTGAAAGTACGATACAATTGAAATTATGAAGTAACGAAGAATATAAAGAGTGGTGTTATCTTAAAACGTGTAATTATTATCTATTATTGTTTAGCTTATTATTCTTTACGAATATGTTATGATATTAATATCCATTATTTTTCCACTACGTGCTATTTCGATATAAAATATTTCAAGTATTACAACTCTATTTTGAAAGTATAAAATAACTCTTTAAAAGTGTAGCGTGACTCACTCGGTAGTTGATATAGCTTTATATTATATGCGATAGCGTGTACCATCGATGAGTCACGCTATTTTTTTTTCTTTTTTTTTTATAATTTTTATACCAGTATCAAGATTCGAATTCAATTAATTCAGAGCTACATAGCACGGTATCGATCGTCCGCTATAATTATCGCCATCGAAACAAGGACGCAACGTTGAACTCGAAAAGAAAATTCTCATCGATCGTAATATTAAGTATTAAATAATTAATCCTTTAATTTTATAAACGTTACGACGATCCTCAAATACTCGATCTTACTTTTTAAATTGATTTCGAAGAAAAGAAATGAGAATTATGTAATAATATACGGGGTGTGATCGATAATCGTTTATCATTAAACCCCATCCACGATGACTGACTTAATTTCGCGATCAACGCGTTATCGATTCGCGATGCATTGTTATAGATAAGCTTGGACGATGGTGAAGAAAGTTGAAAAGGAAGAGAAGAAATGGAAAAGAAAAATATGATTGAACGAGTATTTAGAAGAAAAAAGATGTTAATTACGTAACTTTTGATATTTCTTCAAAACACTAAAAACCTTCCATGGAAAAGTTCATTTCGAAAAATTTCTATAACGTACACTCTTCTTCTAGACTTCCATTCAACTACCTGGATCTCGTTAATATATAATATATGGATATCGTTAAATAATTTTTAGAACGAGTTATTTTTATATCTTCAATTATAATAGGAAATTCTCTAATCAAAATTTTCAACATTTCTCTCTTTCAATAATTACTTACTTAATAAGTGAATAGAAGAGACGCGAAATCTATCAGAATGGATATAATTATGAAAAAAGTGTGATAAAATTATTATTTTAAATTAATTACATTATTTCGCGAATTATCATTGCATTGCATAGACAGGATTCGATAGGACGAGATGATGCGTCGAGCGATTTTATCGCTGCCAGGTCGTAAAGTAATTCGCCATTGATTTACGGAGATGCTAATTGGCCGGTGGCGTCCAAGTGCTTTTAGCGAGTCAGTCTTCGTAATTTCACGGGGATTCGATCTCGAAACCACCGAAATTATCGTCGAATCCCAGGCGTTAACGTTACAACTGCTTTCCCATCCAATTTTTATCTTAATTTCGCCCTACGAAAGAATCCTCGAAATACGAGGCGGTATTTAATGGAAAATGGAGGAGGAACAGGATGTGATCAACGGGAACAGATCGTTTAAACGAGGGAAATGTTAATTTTATAATGTACGCGATGGTTGAAAGAAGAAAGAACGTGTACGTAATATCGATAATGAAACGTGTAACTTTGGACGGGGAGCCGAAAGTTGCGAAACACGTTCATTGATTTATAATATACGCGAGTTTGCGGTTTAATTGGTTTAATTGGTTTGTTCAATGCCGGAACACGATGGTACTTTATTTGATGGAACGAGACCGGTTAACCCTTTCCTTCTCTGAATTATTTAACAGCCGCTGTTACTCTGTCTGCGAAATTTTCATCGCCCCGTCACACGTTAAATAAACGACGTCGCGTAAATATTTTAGATTTATTCCAAGAACGGGATGAAAAGTGTCTGTAATATTAATTATAATTTAATCTTCGAGTATGGTATTATTTCATTTTAACCTCGTAAATTTTCGCTCGTAATTATATCGTTTATATTTTGCCCGGAGAAATTTTGTAATCTGGAATCCAAACCGTGATCTCGTAATTCGCGATCCGTCAATCGGAAATGCGAAAATACCGCGTGCGCGGAATTAACGCGCGCAATTAAGTCTCACAATCGGCTCGATCAGGAATCAACGGGGAGTTTCGCGCGGGCGAACGAGGCGGGCCAAACAAAACCGTAATTTACCGGGGGAGGGGAGTGTGACAGTCGTCGTCGTCGAACGAGAGTCGTGAAAAATTCAGTCTCGGTGACGATGTCGCGAACGTAAACAAGAATCGATCATCAAGTATCGATTCCGTTCCGCAGATAAATCCGTCCCGAGTAAAAATGTTGCGCAATCATGGAGAAAGAGAAGATAAAAGACGAAATAAGAAGAGAAAAAAATGAGAATAAGAGAAAAATATATATTTT